AGTTTATCTTTGTCATGTAGGTTTATTTACTGTAACTACTTATGCAAGTTCAACTTTTCTAACATGTTTTTATTTTGAACAGTTTTTTAATTGACATTTTCAACAAATAAAGAAGGATAAAAATCGCTTCTTAGCTCTCAGTGCTACTTCCTTTGTTTCCACCACAAAAGCAAAGCCAGTGCTTGCTCTGGGCATCCCTGATTTGCTCAAAACACCCGTGGCTGCATCATCCACCCTCCGATTTACTGGATGCTGGTGGGGATACTGGTGCAAATGGCGATGCTGGCACTTGGGCTGTTGTTCCCACCATCACCCAGACTTGCGGCAGGGAAGGGCGCCTGGTCCAATGGGAAGGAGATACATTTCCATCCCTCAAGCTCCACCTGCACTCTGTGAACAAGGACGCTTTATGGAGAACTAGCTGCTCTCCGCTGCACCAGCGGGTTGCTGTAGATAAGTGACTTCCTGCCTGTTTGAGATTTTTTTGTTGTTGTTCGAGTTTTTTTTCTGGCGATTAGGTGTGGTGACAGGATTTCCTTTGGTCTACCACTTGGACAAGACCTCTCCTGCATGCTGGTATTTTTAACTCTTTGGTAGAGACATGCTGCGCTCTCAGCCCGCAGCCAAACCAGGAGGATCGAGGGCCAGACCCTGCTCTCCCTCACCAAACAGAGCAGTCAGAGCGGGAAAAAGAAAAGTGAAAAAGAAACACTGGGCTTGGGCACATTGTAGAAAAACACTGAAGGCTGCAAGGGAGCCTGCTTGAACCCTAGTGGCACTTTGGGGAATTATTGCAGAGGCAGAGCAGGGCCACATCCAGACCCGAGCGCCCCAGAGCCTGCACTGGGCAGAAGAGCAAGGATGAGGCATCCCCCCGGGCTCAATTTGGAGGGAGCATCTCCACTCCTGGGTCCCCATGAGGCCGGATCCAGGCCTTAACCGGAGACCATCCATCCTGCTCTCCTACTGAATACAGGGTCCCTTTGGCCTCCTCTCTTGTGCCAGCTCCCAAACAGCCCCTTTGCATGACCTAACTCTAATGCAGACAGCACCAGCATCCTCCAAGCAATGGAGTTTGGCTCCAGATGACCATCAATGTGAAAAACCAGAAAAAAAACCCCAACAGCTTAATCTGTGCAGCCCAAACCACTGCCGCAGCTGGGGATGTCCTGGAGGCGACCGTTTGCGGTGGGTGTGCTGCTCCCACTAACCGCGCCAGTGCAGCACCGCTCCGCTGGACAAGTGAACCTGAATCCAAACTAAAATGGGAGGGAGAGGTCTCCCTTGCCCCCAGGCAGGGATGCATGGAATGGGTTTGGCCTCCTAGAAAAGATGGGGACCCTGCCCCGACCAGGAGAAAGGGCTGTCACCAAGCAAGTGGTGCTGAGGTAAGGCTCGCACCCAGGCACATGGTGCCTGAGAAGGGGGATTAAAAAAAAAAAAAAAAGACCCAAAGTAGTCCACAGAAGTGCTAGGACACCCTTGTCACCCGAGTGGCTACCATGCACAGCCACGCAGCACGTGGCCAGCCATCCTCCAGCTCCTGCTGCCCAGCAGCCCTGGGCATAGTGGCACAAGCTGGAGAGACCCAGCTTGGAAACTGGCACCCAATCTTTTTTGAGGAAAAAAACCAACCCAAAATCTCATTTCTTATATAGAACTAAAATATATATTTTATATATATATATATTTGCTGGTGAGCTCAGTGTGTCTTGAGCCATGCAAGCACCTCTCCCAGCAGATAACCACACTGCTGCTTGCTCCTGATGCTGCTCATCCATGGCCCTCTGTGCCAGTCCTGCTGATGTGCCCCATGTACTCATCACCTTCTCCCTTCTTTACTCAGAAAGAAGAACAAAAATCAGTTCAGAAACAGTAAAATCCACAGCCCAAGGAGTGACAGAGAGTCTCCACGTCAAGGGAAAAATCAATGTATTGACAACCTTCAAACTTTCCACGGCGAGAGGAAACCTGTACCCGCCACGGCACCGGGCAGGGGCCAGGGAGGAGAACAAAGCCGCCCGGGAGACGGCCACAGCTGGATGGTAGCAATCGCATCTCCTCCCCTCCCACGCACTACCTCACATCTGAATCCCACGGGCTATTTTTGGCAAGCGAAGTAACGGAGCCAAGAAACAAAAGCCCCGGGAAAGGCAGCAGTACGGGCAGGGGGCTGGGACCAGGTGGGCAGGGGAGGCGGCAGTTGGCATCTGCTGCTCTTGCTGCAGAATTTATTAAGTTGTTTTATGCCTATTTTTTTTTTTCCTCCCCTCTTTACTTGTTTCCCCCAGCCACGTATGAAAAATCTATTTCTCCACGTGATTTGCCACTCCTGGATCCCCTCTCAGTGATTTGGCCTGGGGGTCACAGCCTGGCCCAAACCCTCCGGTGGGTGCTCCTGGCCACCAAAGCCGGGGGGGCTGCAGGGGGATTTCAAAGCTGTGCACCGATCACAATTTCCCCTTGCCCATGACAAACAGCGTTTCTGCTCCTGAAGGTTTTGGGCACCCGAAAATGGCCACACACAAGCTCCTCGCAGCAATCCCTTCCTCTCCTCATCTGCTCGCTCCCAGCCAGCTTTTTTCCCCTTTCTCAGACCGTGCTGCTTTGCATGACCTTTGCTTTCTCCTGTGCTTCCCACTCACACTCCCACCATGACCAGGCACCTCCACCTCCCCCTGCAGAGGTTTGGGGCTCTCCAGCCACACCAGCACTGACTCCGCCAGCCCAGCCCGGAGGGGCTGGCCAGGTTTCAGCAGCAGCAGGGATGTGGTGGGACCCACGCCGCTTCAGGAGGTGGTGGGACCCAGCAGCCACCCAGCCCCTGCCACCCCATGCACAGCGGCCGTAGGATCCCACCTCGTGCGGCAGCCATCCCTCTGCTCCAAAGCAGAGACATCCCTGCAGGCTCCGTGACCTTAGGGCAAGCAGGAATAGTCCTCTTCCAGCCAGGTGTCCTAAATTCCCTTAAATTAGCTCCCACCCCTCTGCTCCGCAGCTGCGCTGGGGGCTCCAGCCCTGGTGCCTCCCTGCCTTCTCAGGGCAGGGGGGGTCCCTGCTCTCTCTTCCAGCCAAAATGCCCTTGGTGCCGCATGGCCCTGGCACCCCAAGGTGCCCCAAGGATCAGGGTGGGATGGCTGCCCTCAGAGGCTTTTGGGACTGGCTGTCCCCACTGTGCCCCCCAGTGCCACCTCTCTGCCCTTTTGGTCCCCAGACCCCAAGCAGGACCCTGGGGAAATCCCAGCCTGGGGCTGAGAAGGGTGAGCGGCGTTCAAAGCATACAAAGCACCTATCTCTTAATTCATAAATTGTATTAGTTGCAGTGGATGAAACCCCACACTTGGGAAGGGGGAACCGTGAACGTTGAAATATGCTGCAAAACAGAGCTACGGCCATGCACGGTCCCTTGGCACACAGTCCCTCTCTGTTTACGAATATAAGATGGTTTTAGTTAAATAAGTAGTTTTTATACCCAGTGTCAGAGCGGTCCATTCCCTGATGGTCATAGGCAGTTTTGGAGAACGGCCATCAAATACATATTAAATTACAGTAAAACCAGACTGTCTCTGAGCCTCCCCATCTTTGGGAGGGGGCCATGCCAGCCACCCAGGACTGCAATGAGCTGTGCAAAGACCGCCCTGACCGTCCTGGCAGTGGTGGCACTCAGGAACTGTGTTAGGACCAGACTGCAGCCTCCAGCCAAGCAAACCCTAAGGACTGCCCAAATCTGAAAGCTCTTCCACTTGCAAACCTGTTGGCTTCCAGGAGTATTTCCAAACTTTTGCACTCCGACAAGCATGACCTGTACAATCAAATGCTCCAGGCTTGCCACCTTTGGCATCTTTAGATGCTTTTGAAAAGTGCTGCATCAACATCCTTGTGCCCTGCTGCTGCTCAGCTCACCTTCCCTGTGGGCCAAGCTGGAGAAGAGGGTCATGTCTGTCACCCAGATACCCCCTGCCCGAGATGGGCTCCTGCCCGTCTGCACAGTCCTGCTCTCCTGGAGCTCCAGGAAAAGTGCCACATCCTCACTGAGGGCAGCCAGAAGATGCTTTGCACGTGCACCTTGGAGGGCTTGGGAAGAAGCAGTTGGTCCTGCCACCTCCATGCTTTCCTGGTCCTCCTCCTGGGGTAGGAGGGGTCTCAGGAGAGGAGGCAGGTCCAAATTTGATGGTGGTGGCCAACATCCCTTCCAGAGGGTAGTGAACAGCCCACAGGCAGAGGGTCCTCTACCTGCAGAGGTGGGAGGACAGTCTGGTAAGCGGATTCGGGTCGCTGAGAGCAGAGCACTGCTGGTGCCTTACTCGCACTCTGGCTTGAAATCAGCAGTCCCCCTGGGCCACCGATTGCCCCTCTGATGGGGGGCAATTGTCACCGAGCGTGAACATGACCAAGGCAGTGTCACCCTAAACAAGAAGGCTGGTTGAGTTTCGTAGATAGGCATGGGTGGAAAAAAGGCAGTTCTCAAGATAAAGCAGACAGTTAGGGTGGCAACGATGCATCACCAGCAGCTAGCACATACGGACAGCGTTTGGCTGATTGATTCCTTTAGAGGAGACGTTCCTAAGCCTTTTAATGTTTTTCCGTTGATGTTTTGTAGGCAGATTGGTATGGGAGATATGTATGAACCTAGCTTGGCTGGAGTACTACCCTGAGCCATCCTACGTTGTTAGGAAAGAAACGTTGATGGTAGAATTTGCTAAATAAAGCTCTTGTGACATAATGGGGACATCCACCCTGCCAGGCACGGAGGGCATGGTGGACCTAGACACACAACACCAGCACATACCAAACCATTGGCAATGAAAGAAAAAAGCAAAGTGCAGACAACAACAGCTTCAAACTTTGTTCCGTTTGTGTTCATTAATAAATAACAAAATATACAAATTAAGAAACAAGAAAACCAAAGAGGCAGAGGAACATAAATACGGGAAACAGGGAAAGCCACTTTGCTCAGTGAAGTCAGGCTGGACCCCCAGCTCAGGTCAGTCCCCTCCTCACTACAGCTTGAAGATGCCAAAATAGGTGCTGCCGTGGCTGTAGTTCACTTGTGTTGAGTTTGTCACGTTGACAAAGACCATGTCACCCTCCCGGAGCTTGAAGACACCTCCCTCCCGGATGGACTGGAGGTCACAGAAAGACTTGGAGGTGCTGTGTGTGTCTAGTCCCTTCAGCAAGAGCCGGTCCTCTTCCATGGGGAGATACAAATAAATATAGAGGGTGAAGGGTGCTGAAGTCGCTGCCTTGGTGCAGAAGCTGACTTGGGAGTAGATGTAGTAGAGCCCTGCTTCCTTCACCTTCAGTTTCCCATCCTGGTAGGATATCAAGCTGTTGTTCATGGGGCCATACGTCGTTGTCTGCCACTCTAGCACTGTAAGGGGAAAGCACGGCAGATGAGCTGGGAGAAGGAGACATCCAGTTTGGCAGGCTGATTTTTGGGGGACACCCTACAGACATTTGGCATCACAGCCTCTGTCTGCTGCAGGGTGCGGGAGTGGGTCCTGCCCACCCCAGGACACCATCCCCAGCCCAGGGGAGCAAGGTCCCCTTCCCCAAGGCCAGGCCATGTTTAACCCATGTTTCTGGTCACTGACTTTGACACCCTTGAATCAATGATGCGAGCAGAGGAGCATTTTGCTTCCTTCATCCAACCAAGTGGAAATTCTTAGAGTGGAGGATTGCACACAGTTGCCACCGTGAGCCAAACACCCCGTGTCCACCCCTGTAGGGTTGCTCTCTTCATGGCTTTTGGTGGCACAGCCTCCGAGCCCTCAGCACACTGCCAATACACACTGCAGCTCCTATCTTCAGAGGCACCCATCCCAGGGCAGATAGTTTTTCCAAACTGGATACTGCCTTTCCATCAAAGTCCCTCCTCCACTTGGCCTCCGCAGAAGGCGAGACTTTGCCAAGGAAGCACAAAAATTAACATCCCAGCCCGCAGGGTGCAGAGCTGGAAGGGTTTTGCATGGCAAGTGCTGCCTCCCACCGCCAGGACCACTGGCCATGCAGACCTGCTACTTCCATGGCTTTTGGGGCACTACTGGTGTCATCAGAGTAGCGCATGAACACACGCTCCTGCTGGAGTCAGTACAGATAAGTCAATACAGAGACGGGGAAGCCACGGCCATAGGGGCTGAGCTCAGCTACGACCTCCGGGAGGGATTTTGGCCCTCCGCTTTCCCCAGCCTACCGGGACACCTGTGAGAGCAGCAGCAGTGAGCAACCTGGCTCCAAGGGGAATAACGTGGGTAATCCACGCAGCCCATGGTCCATGCCCGTGCATCCCGCAGGGATGTTTCCTCTGTGCCCGACTGCCGAGGCTCAGAGTCGAGCTCCAGGCAGCTGCTGCTCTCGGGGCAATCTCAACCTGCTTTATAGGCTCAGCAAGTGCTTAAGCAGGGAGTTTTAAAATGCAGTGAGTTTCTTGCTGCTTTGATCTTATCTAACACTAAGCTTTCCACAGGTAGACTGAGCTCTGGGTGAAATGCTGCGTCAGAGATGGAAAGAGCAGTTGCAGATTACTGGCAGTTACTCCAGAATTAAATCAAAAGTGCTCAGATTGCGAAATCTTTGCCAGATTGAGAGACTGACCTTGCAAGCTCTTACTCACTTTGGTAATCCTTGCTCTTGCAGGATGCCCCTTAGCTAAGGCTACACTGGTGGATGGAGCTGCGAGAGCAACCACGGTCTGTGCAGCGGGATGCAAGAATGCAAACGGACTCACGTGCGTTTCTCAAACCTAACGCGGCCGTAGCTGTGCATAAGTGCAGCTTGCCTAAATCAGTTTGGAGCTATCTATGTTGCGACTGTAAAGTCATCAGCCGGCCCATATTGCTACCAGGACCACTACAGTTGGGAGGATGATTAGATCAGCAGATACAATATGCCAGCAGAACCCTCCCGCAGCAGCCAGCGCGGCAAGACGTGGCCAGGAGAGCAAAAGCGTTGTGTTTTGAGTCCAAAAGAAAAGTGAGAGGTTGGTTTCCTTAAATACAAAGAGAAATAGTTTTCCGCTCATAAAAAACACTGTAAAGATTAAGCCGCTGCAGTGCATTTCTAGGAAGGTGTATATAAGGTTACTGAGGACAGCTGGCATGGGATGCGTGAACCCCATGTGGCACAGGCGCACGTGGTGACGTGACCACTGGGAGGTTTGCTGTGTCCTGGGGACACGCTTTCATGCTGGGGTCGTATTGTCCCTGTCCCTACCCTTACAGAGCCATGGGGCAGGATTGCAGGGTCCGGCTAGGGGATGCACACTGCCGTGCCCCACCGCGTCCCTGGCCAAGGCAGTGCCAAGCGGGTCTGTCTTACCTGAGACTACCTTGTTGCTTTTCAGACCTGCCAGGTGGGCTGCAATCGGCTGCCTCTTCTCCGCTGCAATTCAGAAAGGTTGGTGTTAGCGATGCCTTGGCACCGGCTGTCCCCCTCCAGCAGCACAGCTCCTCTGCAGAGACCGTGGCACCTCCCACCCTTGATATTTCTCTATGGGCCAAATCCAGCTCAGAGACACAGTCTCCAAAGTCCACCCCCAGCTTTGAGTGAGGCAGGATCTGGCTTCTGCTCAGCAAAGACACTCAGTTGCCTTCAAGGTGGAGCCTCCGAGGGATAAAGACTGTGCCACCTTGCCCACCATGGGAACAGGACCTGGATGTGCCCGCCCCTTACCTGTCACGGACGTCTCATTTTTGTGCATCAAATGGAGATGCTCTTGGTGCTTATGGCCTGCAATGCAAAAAGGCCAGTTAATTCTGGATTCATTTTCATTGACTTCAGGCAACATGGCACCCAGAGCCACCTGCCCTGGTGAGACAGCCATACCCAGTGCCTCCCTCTGCCAGCCCCAGTCCTACCCCCATGGGGATGCTCCAAACCCCTACCCAGTCCCTTGCCTCCGTGCCGTGCCCTGGGGCACCAGCGGGCTCTCACAAGGTGAAGGAAACCCCTTCCCAGGCCAACCTACTCCTCCTGCCCCTAGCAAGCCACGGGTGCACTGATGGCACCAGGAAACTCACCTCTCTGCATTTCAAACTTGGGCTCTCCCTTGCCGGCTCCCCCGTCCTGTAACAACAGCAAAAATATATATATTTTTTTTAAGATGTACAAATCAATGATTTTGAAAGCTTCTGTGTAAAAGATGCTCAGGTTGGTGCTGTTTGGCCCCAACAGCTCTGCCAGCTCTTGGCAGAGCATACCTGAAACCGCAGAGTCCCTCCAGTACTTTCCCCAGGATCACATTATGGCCATGGGCTGACCGACTGTTTGCAGCAAGGGGTTTGTAGGGTTTATGATCTTAGGTTTTATGCAATTAAAATGATGTGATGGGGAAAGTTTATTTGAAAAAAAAAAAGAAAGAAACAAACAAAAATCTCCTTTTCATTTAAAACCATGTCAAAGATGCTGTAGATGCTGCCCAGCAAGCTGGGCACGTCCCTGCCCCTACAAGAGGGGGTTTTCAGGACTGCTGAGCCGGGCCCATCTCAGACACAGTTTTCTGTTGTCAGTTGGGTACTGATGCAAACCTGAAGGTTTAACTGAGGCATTTGATGCCATCGGGCACTGACAAAGAGGAAGAAATATCCCTCTCCTGCCTTCTCTGGCCAGCAAAGCCACTCCTAAACAGCGAATTCAAGGGCTGAGCAGGCTGAGGACACCTCATCCGTGGCTGGGCAGCCCTCAGCCGCTCCAAGAGGACATTGCAGTGCAGGCTGGCTCTTTGGTACCCAAAGGTGAGGAGCTGCTGCACTGGCTGGAGGTGCCATCCCTGAGCCCATAGGGTGGCATTTGCATAGCATCTTCCTCCTCCTCGCCAGCTGCCAGGAGCCATGCCGCCTGACCCAAGCCTTGCACCGTCATCAACACCTGGGCAACGTGGGTGTAAAAGTGCTCCCAACGGCAGGTGGCTGCAAGCATCCTCACAGCCACCCGGCACAGGATCAGAGCAAGGTGCCAGACAGCAGAAAATCAATGTTTTTCAGACCAGGATCAAAGCACAGAGCCAGGGTGGCTGCAGCTCCATCCCCGCCAACATGAGCCCCGAGCACCCCTCGGCATGCCGCAGCTGGACGCGCTCTGGCCAAGAACGTTTTGAGAAAAAAATGGATGAGATTTTTCAATGAGAGCAATATAGTGTAAAAAAAGGGCATGTGCTATACAGCCCCAAGGTAAAAAAAAGCTTGGGGTCAAGCTGTGTGTGTGCCTCTGGGAGACCCCCTCCACCTTCAATGGGGTCTTTATCCTCCTAACAGCAGTGTACCTTGAACTGGAGGTCCTGGAAGCCCTTTAAAATCTTTTCACAGTCCAATAATGTCGACTTCTGACCTTCTGCTGTCTGACATTTCTGTATTTTTCTCACGAAGATGTAATCTTCATTTAAGCTCAACACCTCTTCCATCTGCCGGGAGGAGAGAGAAGAGAGGGTGAATGGGATGTTAGTGGGAAACCTGCAACAGCTGGCAGCGGAGCCACGCTGTATTCCTGCCAGCAATAAATCGCAGCCTGGAAAGCTCAGGGTCAGTTGTTCAGCATCGGGATGAGCCGGGCAGACACACTGCAGGTACCGAGCGCTCCCACCAGCCGCCTGGCACAGCATCTGCACCCGCATCCACCGGGAATTGCATCCACGGGGCTGACCCTTGCTGGCAATGCTGGATGAAAGGAGGATTGCTCAGGATTCCTTCCTATTTTCTACCACCTTGATAATGAAGTTAAATTTCCCACTCTGCCTTTTCCAAAAGGCAGGTGGCAAATACCCACTCGCCTGCATTTACAGACAGCAGCACAGAAATCTCAACGAGTGGCTCAGGGCTCGCTGCTGCTGCCCCAGTGGCCCCAGTAGGCAGCTGGGGTGCTCGCTCAGCCCTGCACTGCCCTGCCCATGCAGGGTGGCTTTTCATTTTTTCAGCTAGCTTATTGACTAAAAGAGCTGCCAAGAGACCAAAAGGACTTGTAGGTTAGGGCTGAATTCTGCCAAGAGCCTCAGATTAAAAAAATCAGATTAAAAAGAATCAGAAAGCCAGAAAAAGAATAAATATATAAAAAAATATATAAATATATAAAAATACTGATTTTTTGAAATTACACTTGTTTTTCGTAAAAACCTAACATTCAGCTAAACAGTAAAGAGAAGTGCAGACGGACGTGAGGGCACGCAGCCCGGCAGAGCACCCAGCGCAGGCAGCACTGGGATGTGGAGGGTCAGGTTTGAAGCGCTGCTGTGAGCTCTGAAGGCAGCTGAAATTCTCCTGCCACCTGTGACTGTATTTCGGCTGCCTCTCATCCTCCGCCACGGCCCCGTGCAGCCACGTTTCGCTCTGTCGGGGATCCTCTACCCACCCCTTCACCCCCGGCTGCAGCCTCTGTGCGGTGAAATCCCCTTCCATCCCCCTGACTTTTAAGGCCCTCTAGCTCAGGATTGCTCTCGACCCTTGAAGATCAGAAGTCATCCACTTAAATTTCAACTTAAGTTGAGACAACACATTTAAAAATCAGTAATGATGATCTTATCATTGTATCTGGTAAGGAGAACTCATTCTGCGTTTTAGACGCATTTCATTTCTTTAGTGGGTAGTCTTTTCTGCTCTGGAGGAAAGCAGCTTTAGATCAGATTTTAAGCATTGTGCAGTGCGGCTGCAGTCATGGCAACCTCAAAAACAGCTTTTCAGTTTTTAATTTTTTGGTAAATATTGTCCCAAGTATGGGACAGGATCATGAATACCGTGTCTCTTCAAAAAAAGACGAAGTACTAAGATCCAGTCTTTTCTTCCCTAAGCAGAAAGACAGCATCTGAAGTGAGATGTTGGTCAAATTCATACATGCAAACGCTAAAAAAAAAATTTCATTTCTGGACTGCCCCATCCTCGCAATTAGTGTCCTAGTGCTGCCAAGTGCTACGGCACCGTAAAAACCACCAACAAGCCTAAAATAGCCACTTGTGTTTAAACCACACTCTCTTCTCCCCAGACTGGCCACTAGCTGCCAGCTTTGCTATTAACAGCTCTTCTTGATTGATCCATTCTCGTCTTGTTAATGAAGGGAACAGATCTCTTCCTCAGCGTACATCTTAGTGGCAAATTAAAGCAGAAATGAGAACACAGGTATAATAAATGCCACTCCTGTGGCCAGCATCATCTTCTGCCACGTTCATCCTTTTGGTGAGCACATCTCGCCACGGCTGAAGGCAAATCGCGTTAGCAATCCAGCAGAGACAACTTTATTTCTCCACTTACCTTATCCATCTTCATGTGAAGATACAAACAGAAGAGTACGGTCCCAATCATCTGTGCTACAGTAAATACAGCGAGGAAGCCCATGAACATTTTCATGGTGCTGGGCGAGGTGCTGCTGATGGGTCGGGGCGTTGCAGGGCTGTAGGGTTCGTTCATCCTCCGTGCACGTTGCTGGGGCTCCTTCAAATGTGCTGCTTGCAAGTAGCATGAGAACTGTTGTGTGAGCACCCGCTGCTCAAGGGATACAGGTTGCAGCAACCTACACTTCCTGGAAAAAACTCTTCGTAGTGGGTAGGTTTGTTCACTACCATCTCCCACAACAAAAAAGGTTGCTTAGACTTTCTTCTCTGGTGCACTTCCATACTTTTTTCCTACCATTCTACCAGAAGCAGAAAGAGGCTCTTATTCCGTATATTCATATTTGCCCTCGAAACAGTCCAGAGTATGTGCCAGTGTTTTTTTTCCTGCTGTGGATGAAAGTTTCATGGCAAGTTGTGTTCAAAGAAGTGAAGACCATGAATACACAGACAGAGCTGCTGAACAGCCCTGTGGGATGCTAGGGGCTAGGAAGCACTCGGAAAGTCGGTTGTCAAAAGAAGAAGAAAGGCTTTTTGTCCCATTTCCTCCATGAGAAGGATGATTTTGCAGTGAAGGCGCTTGACTGAGGCAGGCAGGTTGTGCTGGTTTCTGGCCTTCCCTTGTGCTCCCCATGGGTGAAGTCTCTGCCTGGGTAGGCTGGAGAAAGGACCATCTCTATGGGCACTGCGACCCCAGTGTTGGCACAGCTTTCATGCTCCTCCACAGACAGCAGGACTTTTGGGTCTTGGTGCTTGGCCATCACTTTGGAGACACAAGTTTTAAGCAGCTTTCTTGGTACCCTGGTGAGGTGCTCACCCTGCACCCAAGGGCACAAGCCACCTCAGACCCCGTCCCTAACTTACCCATGTTACCTACATCTATGTATCTGGGCATGAAAAGGACTGGTTGGGATGCTGGGCACTCCTGCCAGCTGCTGACCTCCCAGCATCACCACCATGCCATTTTGGGCAACCTGTGTCCCCTCTATGTGCTCACACCTCTCAAGTCAGCAGCAGGGAGGCAAGGTCCTGCCCCCAAGCTCTTCAAGCATCCAACACTTGTGCAGCCATGCACCACCGATAAAATAATTTAGGGTAAATGCAGAGGGGTCTTCGCTGCTTGCAACAGGGACAGACCTCCTTTTCTCCATGTCAAGAGGATAAGTCTGGGTTTCTTTTGGGGTGCAGAGGAGGAGGGCTGCGAGGATGTACTGTGAGGAGGGCTGGGGCGCCGGTTTGAAGGTAGTCATCAACCCATCATGTAAAGTTGTTTTGAAAGTAGCATGCTAAAGGCAATGTTCTTATCAGATGTGCATGCAGCAAATAAAGGGTTGGATCCTGCTAGAAGCAGTGGGGTGCTCAGCAGGGTGCTGCTCGCCAGCAGCCCCAGGAAAGGAGGGTACACAGTGCCTTGTCAGGGCTGCTCAGAGTGTTGCAGGATGGAGTCCAGCATTCGCTTTTACTGTCTACCCACTCTCTCGCATCCTGTCCTGTGTGGTTAGGGCGCTGTGAGCTGCAAATGCAAAAGCTGGTAACAAAGCACAAACATCTCTGCAACCAAGTAAGAGTTTGACCTTGGCAGGTCACCATGTTCCTAAATATAGCATCCAAATCACAAGTGTGGGATGGCACCAGGGTCTTCGTGGGTAGCAATTTGACAGCTGGGCAGAGGACAGCCTGGGGCTGAGTCCCTGGCTGGTGCTTAGGAGTCATGTAACCCCTCACCGTGCCAGGACTATCACCCCTCTGCGACAAGGGGAGCTTTAGGATGGGGCTGCCAGCTCCGCGGCCAGTCCCCCAGTGTCATTTTGGCCTTCCAGAGGAAAGAGTGGCCCCTGGGGTCCCCCCCATGGATGCCTGTGCCCCAAGGGCTGCCCACGCACCCTTGCCATCCAAGGGCTGCCTTGCTGTCCAGCTCACCAGGGCTTCCCAGCTCCCACAGGAGCATCCTCCTGGCAGCAGCGAGGTGATCCAAACAGTGGTGGGGATGCACCGTGTTGGGTCGCAAGAGGGGGGTCCCCTTGGCGTCACTGGGCTTTGGACCCGGTCCTGGTCCTTTGGGCTTGCAGCCCTGCTGTGCATGGGACCAAGCCCACACGCAGCCTGGGGGCACTGCCAAGCCACTGCTTTTGTTCCTTTTTATCTTAAAATTGGCATTATCTTTGGAAAGGCCAGTCCTGTCCTCCTCACAGCGGTCTGGTCTGACACCAAGCTCCTACACACTGTCCCGGCCATGGCAAGCTTGCCACAGGCAAAAAGCCTGTGGACACCCCCAAGGACACCCCACACAGCTGAGGCCCACGAGGCCACGGTGAGGACCAGCACCCGCTCCCCAAAGTCCTCACCCCATGCCTCAGCCCCATGGTGCTCACCGGCATTTTCCAGGGCTCTTCAAAGTTTCCTCTGCATTTAACGCTCACATCTGGGGGAAGTCTCTACATGAGAAACAAAATGACATGAGAAGTCATCATTTAATACTTTCCCCGAATCCTGAGTGTCGGGACTGAGAGGCAGCCGATAATGTGTGAAACCGCAGCAATGAGTGTTGCAGAGAGCAGCAAGTGAGGTTTTACACAGCTATTCCTGAACCCTGGCTGTCCCCAGCAGATAAAACCTTTTCAAAGCCATTTCTGGATAGCGACCCATCACTGTTTCGCCGAAATGAGAAGAACCTGTAGGTAATGCCGGAAACCCCGAGTGCATCGCCGGTCCCATTGCATGCACCTTGCTGGGGAAGCCGGAGCCGGCGGCAGCCTTGGAGGGGCTGCCGGATTCGGTGAGGAGGATGGGGAAAGTCTCTGGTTTTGGGTACCAGGCACAAAACATCACCGGACAGTTGGCTGGCTTGTGCTGCAAACCAGGAAACTGAGAGTCGCTAGTCACCAGCACCCTGACGGGAGAAACTGGGTGGAAAATATGACAGCGGGGATCCTGGCAGAGGTTTGTCAGTGGGGAGGGCAGGCTGGCAGCTCATCATCAGGAAACCATCGTTCCACGTCAGCAATCCAGCCCCTCGTTGCCCTGGCTGGCAGGGAGCAAGCCCTTGGGATCTGTGTCCTCCACCCTGCACCACTAGGTCCTGAGGCTTCTCCAGCTTGAGACAGGAGTCGATGCCAGTAGTGCCAGATCTACCAGGAGGTGCCAACTAAGCTCTGGGGAAGGAAGAAGCCTGTCGGGCTGTCCCATCACCGTTGCTGCTCAGAACCAGGCAGCCCAGGAGGACAGAGATGCTGCGGTGGTGTTGGCTCCTGGGGACGTGCTCTGTTGCCACCTCACTGCTTCATGTGGATGCCAGGGATAGGGGGAAAGACTCAAAATCCTCAGATCCCACGTTATGCCATGCCAGGGCCAGGTAGCATCATGATTGCACATCCTTGACCACTTGGCTGCTGTAAGAACAAGGGGAGCATAGCAGAGGGGGGACACAGCCTTGGGGAAAAAGGGGCATGGTCCAGAGAGACGATGGGCAATGGAGAGAGGACCCACCACCAGAAGGAAGAGTCTGCCTGCATGGGATAACCCCAGGGAAGGCGAAGTCACACCTTCACCTAGTGATGAGCCCACCACCGAGAAACCAAGAGGGTTTTCTTTCACCCCTCAAACCCTCTGAACGTAACCATACCCATCCACTTGTGAACCCAAACTGGCAGTTCCTCCAGCCAGATAACCCCCGGGTGAGACGATGGGAAAATGTGATCCATCGCTTGCATTCCTATTGACCTAGTTGTGGTATTTCCGCTGATCAGCAAATTGTCTCCACTCGTACTCCACACTCAGAGTTTTGTTTACTGAGAAAATATCCGGTTGCCTGCCCCGGTGATCTGTCAAAGGCTGGGAGCATTTCTGAAGGCAGCAAGGTGAAAGCTGATGAGAAGAGAGTGATTTTTTTTTTTGGGGGTGCCTGCTGCGGTTTCATGATTAGCTCTTTAAAATGTGCTGCTTACCCCACATGCTCTTTACAATTAACAAAAGCTGGGTACTGTGCAGTACTAAGAACAATACATTCAAAAAGATTTGATTCTGAGTCACAGAAGGAGTTTGCCTGTGATGCTGTGGGAGGGATGCAGAAGAGAACCTATGACAGAAACCTAAACTAAATCCCTTCCACACAGGGCCATGGGCAGAAAGGAAATGTGAGCTTTTCCACCATTTGTTTTGTTACTTCTTTAGATTTTTCCCTCTCCTGCATTCTCTGAGCTTTCATGTCTCCAGGACAACCCCATCACCGTAGAGGAAGAGGGAACAGACATAGCCAGAACACCACAGAAAAAATCACCAGCATCCGGAGAAAGAAAGGTTGCGTTGCAGTTTCCGTTCATTTTTTACCTTGGTATGAATGAGAGAAAGCTCTTGGAGTCCAGAGCAGCAAGAAGCAGTCTCAGGGATAGATGAGAGTGTCAATATTTGTGATGGTCACGTCTCTCTGTGGAAGAAAAGAGCAGAAGATGGTGGTTGTAGCCACTATGGTGGTAATGGCAGGCTGCAGCCCCATCACTCGCCGTGGCCCTCAGCCATGGAGACACCTATGTGGAGGTCAGCAAAAATTCCAAGCTCCAGCAGACATGAACACAAGCTGTCCCAGGCTCCCACTACCCAGCAGGTAAATCAGAGCAGGGTGTAGAGCACCATCTCCACTGCATTTTCCCCAGAGATGTGAGGGGACATTTGCCCTTTCTCTGCCACCCTCCAGAGCAGCAAAGAGAAATGGGAAAGCTGTAAGGGATGGCACTGGGGTGCTACTGTCTGTCTGAGCTGCCCTGCTCCGAGGGCCATCACCCCTTGTGCCCCCTTCCCTCCGTCCCTCCTCATCTCCCCACCCTGCGGTACCACTCATGGACACACCTCGAGCTGGCCTTTCCTAAGAGGATTGAGGTGGGTGGAGAGCAGGGAAAGGCAGATGACCAAGCCCCAGTGACCCCACAGAGGATGGAGTGCCCCAAAGGACACGTGGCTCTCACGCCACATCTGGGCTGCACATCTGGGCAGTGATGCCAGCCTTGCTATGCTGAGCGATGGAGAGCACCCGGCCTCTAAACTGCTGATGCTGAGCCTTACCGAAGCTGTGAAACCACAAATTGCACTAGAAACTTCTTGCTGTGACGGCTGCACCTACTTCTCCCAGCTTCCTAAAAA